AAAGGAGTTTGCCGGAAAGATGCTATTACGAATGAATTTAAGTTCCTTTCCACTGATGTAACATTTGTATCATCATATCAATTTTTTATTCTTATACCAAAAGGGGTACCTTGGTGTTTATTCAATGATTGTTTTGTTTCTTTTTGTCTTGAACGCGAAGAATTACTTACCAGGTATATCAGTAAGCAAAGGTAGAAATATTAAAAGCTATATACATTTTTAAGGCCCATCATCTCGATTGGGATACCGAAAACTACATTTCTGACTCAGATAGAGATATTACTTCATTTTCCTCCCAGACGTCATATCTCGTTTACGATTTAGATCTTACGACAAACCTCACAGACGCACAGTTATCAATCAATTTCAACTGGGGAAATAGATCAAAAGCCTACACGCATATAATGAAAAAAAAAGGTGTTCATAAGCCCAACCCTATCCTTTACTCAGGAATATCATCGCTTGAACTCTACCGGGAAATGTAAATAAAAGTCAATCAAGATACGTCAAAGCAAGCGGGAGAAACAGCATCGAACTTCGCAGAGAAAGGCGCCAGGTAGTATACGTATATTCAAGCGGGTAACCAGATTTCCCACGCTGACGCACTGCAGTCTCACGAAACTCGTAAAGTCTGCTACTTAATAGTCATGAATGAATAATAAGCAGAAAGGTGTTAGTAATGATAAAATACGGTCAAGTAATGAATAACCTTTGGTAAAAAAAAATGATTAATAGACAATAATAAATAAAGCAAAGTCAAATTAATAATACATTCATAAAATAAATTAGTCAACATAAAAAATACTACGTACTAAGTTACGTATGCTAAACCACAACATGCAGAATCGGAGGAGTAGAATCACCCATGCAAAGCACTCTACGGGCGGAGCTGGCGTGGCCGCTATCTCTTAACGAGCGAGTAAGTGAGTTTTCGCGTGATCTCCTTCGTCAGCTCCAGCGCCTGCCAATCTCCCTCTCTCTCGGCGCTAATCTCCCTTTTTGTGTTCGGCGGCGCATTGGGTCAGATCAGCGGCCGCTCTGGTGGAGATATTGGCGCGTCGGGGGCTGTGAGGGAGGCCGGGAGACGAGGCTTGATGTGTCTGTAGATCTGTGTGGTCCATTGCGTCCTTTTCTCTCTTTTGCTTGTTTTCTTATCTCTCTCTCTCTCTCTCTCTCTTATATATATATATATATATATATATATATATATATATATATATATATATATATATATATATATATGTATGTATGTATGTATGTATGTATATGTATATATATATATATATAATATATATTATATATATATATATATATATAATATATATATATAGATATTATAGATAGATAGATAGATAGATAGTAATATATATATATATATATATATATATATAATATATATATATATATATATATATATATATATATATATAGTGAGAGAAAAAAAATATTTGTCTCTCCCTCTATTTATCTGTCTATCTCTCTCTCTCTCTTCCTCTCCCCCTCTCCTTTTTGCCTCCTTCCCTTCGTCCTGATGTTTTTCTCTCTGTATGTAAAAAATATTAAAAGCATGAATAAACGTTTCCTGGTGGAGGCGCCATATGCAGCGACACCTTGACCAGCCTCGACACACGCCCGTTTCCTCTTCCACTCTCCTTGGCTTCGTCTCCCGTTCCTCCACCTTACTCCTCTCTCTCTCTCTCTCTTTCGCGATAAAGGCATTCGCTGCTTCGGATCTCCTTAAAGAGCGAGGCAAGACGATGGCGGAGATAAAAGGGCGGTGAGAGGCGAATAGTCCCTGGAGAGGACCGCGAAACGAGCTTGGGAACTTCCCGAGGGGTGCACGGTTCCCTTAGAATTGGTCTGGAGATCCTGTCAGATTTCGAAGTATCGGTCATGTCTCGAAACGGGGTTCGACATGACTCCGCAGATGCAATAATGCAATAAACGAAGGCCGATTGCAAAGAGAGGGGAAAAAATATGGGGAAGAGAGGGACAGAGTTTCACCCTTCTAAAAGAGTCAAGGGTAGAAGACGTGAGAGTGAGTTTCGCTTGAAAAAAAAAGATGAAAAAAAAATGTTTCGAAATCGCTTCTCTGTCTCAGGTAGAGCGAAATTCGTCACCGATGAAAGTATGTCATTTCTTTTTCTTCCAACCTTTTGTACTACTTGTATTGGAAAGGGTAT